CAAATGACCAGGGTTGCTGAGAGGGTGACTTATTTGGTAATGAAATATTGATAGTTGCATAGAGAATAGTGTTTTGTCGAAGTTAACAGTTGTGGCTGTGAGGATTGGATGTCTTCAACTGGGGCTAGGCTATGCTGCTGTAGCCCCGGGGTGTGAGGTATGTCATCAGTGATGGAAAATGTCTGACAGCACCGCTGTCAGGAAATTTTAACAAAATATCTATGCAGGAAATTTTCTCACATCTTGCCATAAATTTGTGCCATCTTACTGTATATACTGAAATGCCATACAAAGTGCTAGAAAATGTCCGGTAGCACCAGCAGCAAGTTGCCAAGAAATTAATTTTAAAATATCACCTTACACGAAGTTTTCTTCATCTCAGACACTGGATCGTCATATAATTTACTATTAATATTGCTTACAAATTAAAGTTATGATTAATTACAAACTATTAATTACAAATTTTGCAAGTCGAGATGAGTTTTTTTTTATTCTGATTGTCTTGTGTGAGATTGAAGTTTATCACACTATTGCGCACCTGCATACGTTTTATAAAATCTGCATAAGCAGGAATTTGCTCTGGGTTTTGCTACGAGGAAGAGCAATATATTTTCTAGACCTAGCCATGTAATTTACTTTATGTTTACAAACATGTTTTGCAAGTTGAGATTGTCATGTGCCTAGATTGAAGTTCATCACAATGTGCGGCACCATACATTCTCTGAAATCTACATATGCGGGAAGTTTTATATTGGAATTTGCTGCCAGGAAGGGAAATATATTTTCTAGGCCTGTCTGCCATGCTGACCAAAACTAGTGTGGACAAAAATACATCTTGAAAGGAGCTCCTTATGTGTAGCTCAGGTGCAGATCTTCCCCCCACCGCTGATGGTTAACTCAAGTCTTGAAACTAACGCTTGGAAAGTTACAAAATGCAAGTTACAAAATTATAGCCTTGGCTAATAAAAAACTATTTCACTAGCAACCTTTGCGAGTATGGAGTGACTTTATTCGGATAAATTAAGCAATTATGGAATTTTAAATTTTGCTAGTTACAGTGAAACCTATCAGCACATGTTTGCTAGAAACTAAAATAGTTAAATTAAGGTAAACCCTTGCATTAACAGTGCAAATTTCCTTTCGACAGAAATTTCCTTTTGATATTTTTGGAATTAACAAGAATAGGCCCAGATAAGTAGCTCTGTATACTGTAGCTTTTGCAGTTGTTAGCCAGGTATAAATGCATTATCGAATAATTGATATTTAAGATGGTAAGGCCCAAGGGTTGGACCACAGGACCAAGAAAGAGAAAAAGATAATTGTGAAATTTGAAAAAAAAGGGAAATTAAGGTGAAAAATTCTAACCAATAGAAAGAATGTTACCTGTACTGCAACCCTAAATGAGTTAGGGGGTCTAATTCTTTGGCCGGCCGGAAGCATGGTTCCCCGGAAAATATTTCAATGTTTAGTGTCTGCGAAATTATCATATTTCAAGCATTTTAGACACGTTTTGCGATAATCTGAAAGCCACAGTTGTGGGATATTTTATGTCAGATGAAAAATTAGGAGGTCACGCCCCTGGTTTCTCCTCAATTTTGAAAGAATTACAAAATTGGTCCAGAAGAGAAGTGGGGGAGGGGGATGCTATTAATTGTAGAATCATGTAACAAATGTTGCACTTGCATTGTAATAAATACATTTTTAGCAAAAGACACCTGATTTTCAAAATTTCCTGGCGAATCAAGCCCGCAGACCCCAGTGGCGCCATATTCATATATTCGTGTTCACAGACCATAAAAACAATCGATTTCAAAAGAAATTAATAATGCAGAACACGAATATATGAATATTCGCCACCCATCCGCCCCCAATTATCGAGCTGGCGGCGCACTGATCCCCCCTGGTACAGTCCTTCTTTTTTGCATGCGTAAATTTACCTTCGGATTAGACTGTCGATGCATATGTTGTCTAAAGTACTTTTATGTTATATTCCTAAAAGTACTATTAAGATTTTATTATTCTTTTCTGTTAACATATAGTATGACATTCAGTCTGACAACTTGTTGGTGTTACACAGCTACATGTTCGATTTAGGTGATTATTCGCTGAATATTTTTCAATGTTCTCTTGCGGTCACGGAAAGTAAAATATTCATTCCAGCCCTGCTAAGGCCCGTTATTTTTACAACCTCGAAAATGTGATTATCTTTCACCGTCAACCTGGTTCTTATAGTGGTGTTAGTGCAGAGATGATAATGAGACATTTTGTACATTGTGGAAAGCTACCCTATATAATGAAATTTTTTAATATAGACACAAGAAGTAATTGGACCCAGTGACGAACCTAGCTTAAAATAATTGGTCGTGTAACTATTTCGAGCGCCGATGGCGTGGGTCATCCAGGTCCGGGGGATTGCCCCCCCCCCCTGGAAAATTTCGAAAACAATAACCCGGGAAATACCATTTCCTGGGGTTTGGGCATTGAATTCTGAGCCCCAGTTTGACCTCAAGATGGGGAACACCTTGGCAAATTTACCATCTTTTAGCCAAAAGTCGTGATTCATAACGATTGGATCACCAGTTTGATAAAGCATTATACAAAGACAAAAAAAGCCTATTAAACCCAAGTGAAATTCTATCGTCAGCTAGGAGATAAACACACAATGATATATTTCTTATTAAATTGACTTTAGATGTTTACCATGAAAAGATGGTCATGATATACTCGATTGACCCAAACTTTTATTCCAATAACAAGATATTAAAAGAAATACATACAACTGCTTGCTTTCGACAAGATATGTACCGATATATTATCACTCAGGTTTACCCTGCCCTGTAAAGCAAAGCAAACTTTTGATTATTTCTGATTCAATTTCCATCCAAATTTAAACAAAATTTAATCAATTTGTCCTCAACCAATGCCCATTAGTCCCAGAGTTTTGCAGCCATATCGCCTTGGAGTTTATTGCGTACAAGAGGCGAGTCATCCCAAACTGTGGAACTTGGTGCAACTCTGGTGTCCCACATGTCTACAAAGATGCTACGCAAAGCATCTGGGAATTCCTTAAAGAAGATCGACGCAAACGTGAAAAAGTTTATGCGAAATGTGCACCGACACGTCCCGAGGTGGGGAATTTTATCCAGCGTCTGATCCAGTGGCCCGTGGGGGTAGGGGTGGGGAATATAAATGTTCACACACGAGGTACTTTGGGCCTAACCCGCGAATCCAATACGAGATGTTTCCCACCAAACTCGTGATTATTATTAAATATGGCGTTGGAATTCTTCGAGAAATATTTCTTGGGGAAGTGTTTGAATTTGAAAATGCAAACATGGGCCCACTTGCACACCACTGATTTCTTTCTTGCGTATTTGATAACATGCTTGTAAATCGGAGATTGCGTTGCCAGTGGCAAGGAAAATGCGTCCGGTAAGTGAATTCGAAGGTTGACATTTGTAAAATTTTGGTTTGCAACGTGTTTCTGTGCATGCAATAATGGTTTTGTGAATGTTGTCCCCGGCGTAATTGTCTTCTTTATTTGCCCGGGGGTGAGGTGGATTTGTGTCGGGCTCTCTTCCCTTCCATCCACTCGCATTTAAGGAAGGGGAAATAGTGCCTGATACTCAGGCTGAGACAGTGAGACACGAATCTACAGCCATTACTCACGCGGTATCTTATAATATCGTTTGATATACTTGTACCACTTTTATAGTATGACTACACTTTTTTAGTGAACCAAGTACAATAAAACCGCAAGAAATGACTTTTAATTATCTATTTATAACTATAATACAAATTCCACTAATAACTGACTTATTACAACTACAATACAAACTAATAACTAATATCATTATGCAGTAATACAATATAAAATTACTAATGTATATAAATCATCAAATTACAAATATTCAGTATACTCAAAATATACAAATATACTGAAAATCGACCTTATTGACTCAAAATATTGATTTACAGCATTTTTGAATGAGTCAATTTTGAAACAAAGATATCTATTATCACTTCCAAGGCTATAAGCATTGTTAAAGGTACTATAAAGAACTTCTGATAAGTAATTTGATTCATTCTTGACGTTCATAAAAATTTGTCAAAAACGTAGCACACCATGTCACATATAGAAAATATTTATTGCATTTTTTATGCTGCTGTTTACTCAGCTTAGCTTCATCTGGATGAGGTCATGTAAAAAATATCCCGGTTTATCATCAGTAGCAGCAAAAAAATTCCGTGTGGAAAGATAATATTTCTATTTTTTACTTTTTACTAAATCACATATACACATTTATAGAATGAACGAAAGAACATGTTCAAATCACGCAATACAATCTGACAGAATACAACATTTTCGAATTTTACTATGCTTTTCATCTGAATTAATTACCAAGAATTTCCGAAATGTTCTCACAAACAGCACTTAAACGTAATATTTATCGTAAACGTGCTTGTGAAAAATTGGAACAGCATGCATACGATAACAATATCAATTGCAAAAGTGCATGGTTGACAAAATATAAGTTACTGGTTGGATTAACTACACCATTCGATGTCTAGGAAAGGTGGATTTGTCGCGTGCTCAGTTATGAATGACCGCTGAAAACAATTTTTATTTAATAAAAAATACAAAAAATTCCATGCGAGACGAAAAGAAAGAAGATGCTAGCACTGATGATAAATTGGAATATTTTTTACATGGCCTTATATAAAGAAGTAAAAAATTTTGACTGGACCGACATTTAAAGCTTGGGGGCTACGAAAATAACCGACACCAGCAATATAAGTAGTACTCCCTTCTGGTATTGGAAATAGAAATTTTGCGCTCATTTTTGTATCGTAGTATAGAAGTTGCTATTCTGTCCTAGATGTGTCAGGTTCAGCGAAATTTGTTCCACTTTGAAATCCGAGTCACGTTCCCGCAATATTTAAGCCAAGCAAATTAGGGCACCGCCAGACTTAGACTTGCAGGGTAAACTGACACAGGCTTAAAAATATTCTATAAGATCTTCCCTCGTTGCCCAGTCAAAATTTCCTCTGATGATTCGATGCAGTTCAACAGCAAGGGTTGGAAATTTCCTTTCGAAATATTCTTGTGGTGTAACGACGGTGCTCTGGACATTTGCAGGTGGTGTCTTGTCGTGCCAGTGGACTGCTGTGTTTCGAATGAACCTCAAAAGATCTGCCGCGTCGTTTGTATACGGAGATCGACGTGCAGTCATATAATTCATCACACAAGCTTCAATCATTGATAACCAGTTGGTAAAAACTGGCAACTTATTTAATTCTTGAACAACAATTGATGTCGCATCCCCGGTTTTAATTTCTCTCTCGTTACCAACACTTTTGACTAAATTAAAATTTTCTTCTGCCGTTCGAAGGTATGGATGTTTCAGACATTGGTTGACGTTAGGTCGTTCGGAAGGATCATGTTGGAGCATCCATATAATAAGATCTCTTGCACAAGGATCACTTAAATCCTTCAAATCGAATTCTCCTTTTGAGATATGGTAATTTCGATATTGTTGACCGTATGGGTGTTTTCCTTTGGTCAAGATATAGTAACATAGCATTCCAACAACTTGAATGTCAGATTGTTTCATATAACGAACTTGGATATCGGTATTAGATAAGCAATCAGTGTCATCATCTTCTGTCGGAAGTGATTCCGCTGCCATCCATCCTTCAGTTCCCCTTACGCCGCTCTTGTGCGTGGTTTCGTTTGGTGGTAGCGTTCGACTAATTCCGAAATCAGCAAGCAACATCTCACCTTCTAGGTTCACAAGTACATTCTGTGGTTTCAAATCCCGATGGAGTATTTCCGGATTACCACAATGAAGTGCTTTGACACCACAAAGTATTTGACGTGTTATACTTGGACCGTCCTTTCTTAACTGTTCGACAGGCTTTGTCTCATCAAGAACATAATCTCGCAAGCTCTTTTCATGTAAATCCAAAACTACGAAATGTTCTTTAGAATTAATTTTTTTGTGGTAGCGATAGTTGACAATGTGTTTTTCCTTTCGCACGTTTGGAGAATTCAAGATTTTTTCCTCATTGTCATTATATTCCTGACCTTTTGTAAGATTCAAGTGCTTTACGGCAACTTCATAGCCATCATCCGATAACCCGACATAAACACTTCCTTCACCTCCTTCCCCGATGCAAAATTGTTCATGCAAGCACACGTGGTATACTCCAAATCTCTTTGCTTTTGATGGTTTGGTTTTCAAAATTTCAGCAAGTTTTGAGAGTCTAGACCTATGCTTTACCGACCATTGCTTCCATGGAATTTCTGTGTTACTTTCTAAAAACACACAGAAAGCATAATAAGCAAACTTATCAATACAATTTTTAGATACGTGTGCACGCAGGTGCGAGAAAATAAGGTTGAAAACGGGAAAATGTGAAAATAACGATCGCTGAATATTATATTGAATGACTTTTTGCAGTAGAATACAGCGTGCAAATTTTCAAATAGGTCACCGCACGAAATAATGAGTCGGCAATTGACATGACAGGTGTAAAACTTGTTAGGCCTATTCATTAATATTCGGGTTTGTTCATATAGCATAACGTTTTGTTTTCGCGATTCTCGTATAAGGGATTTTGTGTGTATTAATATACCAGCCACCTTAAAGGATAATGACCTTGGGGTTCCAGGGATTAAATTATCCATGGACGATGATCCTAAATCGATACGTGATGAAGAAATCAGCATACAGTATTATTTTATAGACAACTACCAAATATAAGCTATTACACAATCTGATTGGTTCTCTACTTATATACTAGCTGGATATTAGCTTATTTTGTCGGAACTGAACGGTTAATTACGTGCACATCTCGCGCGTGCTACACGTGAGCACATGGAATACTAATTATGTATGTGGCGGGAAAACAACAGCGAGAGCTTATCAATATATTTTTTATATTCCGAGATTTTCAGTGATTTTTATTGTGAGTAGAGTGAATTTTTCGCTGATACATACCGGGGAGGCAGGTACTTTGCGAAACGTGGCACCTCCGAGACGGGATTTAGTGATATTGTTGTTATATTCGACGATTTTTCGGTGATTTTATCGCGATAGTTTACGAATGGCAGACGCCAACGCGATGTCGACGTTCGACGTTAAATTAAAACAACTTCTGATGACGTGCAAGCGAACTGATTCGGTGCTCGATTCTAATAAAGATACTGCGATTAAACGACAACCGGAAGCTTTAAAAGCGTTAACAAACGAGTTAGAAACATCGAGACGAGGCGTAGAAGCGTTGAAAATCGAGCAAAAAGTGAACGAGGACGAATTCGCTACGTGGAATTCTCAAGTAGAGACTGAGCTAGAGAAAGCAGACGACGATGTGAAGCGCTTAGAGAAATGGCAGGACGATTGCAAACTGGAAAAGGATCGAGAGAAATGCTTTCGAAGAGAAATTGAAATACGAGATAAAACTACACGAAACTAAACTAAAACTCGAGTCCGAACATCAAGCGAAGTTGGAAAGTGGAAGTTCGTCGAAGGAAAATCATGCCAAGCAAGTGGAAGCAAAACTACCGAAACTCGTAATATCAAAATTTGACGGAAATTACATGGATTATTGGCAACGGTTTTGGGGTCATTTCACCGAATCGATTGAAAAATCTGGTTTAGCAAACATTGCCAAATTTTCATATCTGAGAGAACTTCTTGGAGACAATGTCAGACGTGAAGTTGAGTCATTACCATTTACATCGGAAGGCTACGATCGAGCAAAGGCTATATTGGAGGGAAAATATGGCAAAGAATAAGAGTTAGTGAAGTCTTATGTGAAAGAAATTTTGAGCTTACCATACATGTCGACAGCGAATTCGAAGAAAATTGCCGAGTTTAGTGACAAACTGACATATTGTGTCCAGTCCCTGCAGTCGCTCAAGAAGCTGGACGAAGTGAAGGGTCTTACTATGGTTAGCTGACCGGAAACAGGTTTTGGCGAAGAAGCGATTGTGTTTCAACTGTGCGGTTGGGACTCATCGCGCCGCACAATGCCAAAGCAAAACATCATGCCAAACTTGTCATAGGAGACATCATACATTAATATGTGACAAAACTCAACCGGAAGAGATCAAGAAAGTGGTATTAACACCAAGTGGAGTGGGGGAAGGAGTTTTCCCAGTGGTTTTGCTTAAAGTGGACGGAATCATAGCGAGAACACTGATCGATACAGGAGCCGACAGCTCTTATATCTCAGCTAAAGTCGGAGATTTGCTGAACAAGAAACCCTCGGAAGCTTCAACCACACGTATCGAGATGTTAATGGGTTCTCACTTTACGAGAATGGAAACGTATGATGTTATTGTTGAATCCCTTGACAACTCCTTCAAGATGGATGCAAAGCTCACAAAGGTTGACAAGAACGAACAGTTGTCGATAGAAAATCCACAGTACGAACACGTCAAAGCCAAGTACCCCCACGTAGCACAAGTCAACTTGACCAACAACGACAAGAAAGACCAATTACCGATTCATATTATTCTAGGCGTGGGTGACTATGCGAGAATTAAGACCAACCGACCACCAGTGGTAGGTGAAGCTGGATCCGGAGAACCTGTTGCTGAATACACCAAACTGGGGTGGTTCATCATGTCGCCCGGAAATGAAATCGACCGGCAAACCATGTTTCTTACCCACAGACCAGCCATGTAGATTATGAGGAACTGTATCGTCTTGATGTGTTGGGGCTCAAAAGATTCCACAAAACACGATCAGGACATAGTGCATGCAGAGTTCAAGGAACAATTACAACGATCAGCTAGTGAAGGATGGTACGAGACAGGACTGCCCTGGCGGAGCAATCATCCCCATCTGCCGGCCAACAAACACGGAAGTCTCCGTCGTCTGAGTAGTCTAACAAAGAAGTTGAAACGAGATGGGCACATCGAAGAATACGACGCGGTTATTCGAGCACAACTCCAAAACTTATCCTGAAGAAGTCGAGCATCTACGTCGAAGCATGTATGTCGATGATGTACTAAGCGGCAGTTCGACAGTGGAGCAAGCCTGGAGACGCAAAGAAATTTCCAGAGAAATTTTACGGGACGCTACATTTGAGCTTCATAAGTGGAGCTCCAATGTACCGAAGTTGGAAGTTGACGAGGTTCATCAAATATCTGAACTTTCTGACGAACAGTCTTATGCAAAGACACAGCTGATGGTTAAACCCAAAGAATCGAAAGTGCTCGGTCTAAAATGGGACAAACAAAGTGACACGTTGAAGATTTCATTTCCAAGTGAAGAAGTACCGGCGACGAAGCGAGGTATCTTAAGTAAACTGGCAAAGATTTATGACCCTCTAGGGTTGGTTTCACCGCTGACCTTGGAGGGGAAACTCCTATTCCGCGACTTGTGCGATGCAAAACTCCCGTGGGATGTTGAGATTAATAACGAACAGTTGAAACGTTGGCGAACCTGGGAACAATCCTTACCCGTAGAGGAAGAAGTACCGAGATCTATTGCGAGATACCAGGAACCAATTGATGAGATTGTATTACATTCCTTCGGTGATGCGTCTACAAAAGGTGTAGGGACAGCAGTTTACGCAGTGGTTAGACAGCAGTCGGGAGCTACACAGCAATTGGTGGCAGCAAAGAGTCGGCTAGCAAAGAGAAATTTGTCGGTTCCACGTCTGGAACTGGTCGGGGCTCACATGGCGACAAATCTTCTAGTGAATGTTCGTGACGCCCTACCGAAAGAACCGCAACCATTGATGTTCGCATGGCTTGACAGCACAGTGGCTCTGTACTGGATAGTTGATAATGGGGCCTACAAGCAATTTGTCGCCAATCTTGTTGCGAAGATCCAGGCTCGCCCATAAATTCAGTGGCAACATGTTCCAACAAAGGACAACCCCGCGGACATTGCTAGCAGAGGCGGTCCCATATCTTCATCACTGTGGCAGTCGGGCCCAGAATGGCTCAGTGATCCAGCAAAATGGCCAGATAATCC